ATTTTCATTACATATGAAAGTTTCTATAAACTTTACGATAACAGGATTTTGTTTAGAAAGCCAGTCAGAAACAGAATAACTTAAAAGACTATCTAAACTAAATTGTTTCTGATTGTCTATTAAATTAATAATATCATTATAAAAATTTCCACGTTCTTTTTTAGCAATTTTAACTACAAAATCAATTCTTGCTCTTTAATCATCAAATCGACTATTTCATCTTTTTTCTAATTCTTCATTTTCAGATTTTAGTTGAACAATCCTTCGCTTATATTCCTTCATAAGTTCAACATATTTTATTCGTTGAGCTTCAGAATTAGTTAAAGATTTCCTTGTATCTATTAACTCTAGCATAAGACTTTCATTATCTTGTATGATATCTCTATCTTCAATCGTTCTAACTTCAACTGTTCTTAATCTTTTTCGTTGACTATTTCCTTTGGAGTTATTTTCCGTTATGAATTTATTAAGTAAAGTATCATTAACAACAATTTGATTATAATGCTTTTCACAAATTAAATAATTTTCTAAAGAATTGTATAACAAAGATAGTTCGAAAAGATACTTAGCAAATGTATTTATTTGGTTCGCTGCTGCCTTCGCTGATGCATTCCTCCACTTTTGGTTCTCTTTGAATTTATATGGTACTAAGCTTTTTGAATATTTAGTGAAAAACCTTTTAAATATGCATGGTAATTCTTTAGCAGTCGTCATTCTAAAGGTTAATTTTAGAAAATTTCAAGTTAATATTACGCTTTATATTCTTAAATAACCCTTTGCAGATGAAAGTAGATTATAAAAGCATATATTTGAAAGAATATATTCGTATATTTATTATAATTGCATTATATTTTTTTTTTGCCGTTTGGATCAGTGAAAGTGTTACAATTATTTTAATTAATAACCAATTAAATTTTAGAAATGTGACTGCCGATTATTCTAGATTCGGTTTCCATTTTTGGTAAAATCCCAGACTGTAGTTAGTACATATAATAATTAATAAAAAAAATTAGTATAATACAATACAAGTATAGGATCAAAATTTATCTAATATATACAAATTTTCTAACTCTGCTTATATCTTTTTGCCTTTTTATATCTTCATATAGTCTGACATAATTTTTACATAATATTTTTAATTGAGTTCGTTATCTGAATTTCTTAATTAAATTTATTTGTAACCTTGTCTTTAGGTTTTTAAACTTGACAGATTTATTAAGTTTAGTATATAAATTTGATAAAGTTAGAGTTAGGCAGATTTTAACATTTTAACTACAGTTAGCAACCTTAAGTAGAAAGTTAAGGATATAGTCAAACTGAGTTAAAGACTTATATGGTGATAATGTAAAAGCTAAATGTAAAAATACAGAATTGTATGATTGAAATTTACTTGATCAGATAAGTTAAAATTTATGATTTATGAATTAGTAGAATTATTTAGAAAATATCAAAAGAATTGTTAAGAGAGCATCATGTTAAATTTACAGTTAAATTTGAATAGAATAATATTATAACTATAGAGATGTTTTACATTTGATGGAATCAGTAATATATGCTAAATTTAGATATATGAGTGGGTGATTTATATTATTAAATTTTAAAGAAGACTTATTAGAAACCATCAAATGGATAAGTATAATTAAATCTTCCAGGATAATGATTTAAACACACAAAATAATGGTTTGAAGATTAGAGAATTAAAGTTCTTAATTGACCTGCATAATTCCCTGACTTAAATCCAATAGAAGCCTTTGGAATGAAATGAATTATCATTTGAGGCGGCTTTAAACATCTGTTAGAACATAGGATCAATTATGATTTGGGTTGAATTGGGTTCCGATATATGAAAAAGTTGGTTTAAACGATGTAATTAGAACTAATGGCGACTACAAATAATTATTTATCAAAGTTTCAATGCAATGGGGTCGATTTATTTTTATTCACAAAGAATTTAATAAAAAGAAAAGGATCGCAAATATATCAAAAATAAAATTTGTCCCATTACTATATACATCGAGTTACATACTATTGAATTTATAATAAGTCCTAATAAATAATTTATAGCCTTCTTAATCACAAGATAATGCGTATTCGGGTGATGCAATACTTTTGAGCGTCACTTTATATTAATAGTTAATTTCAATGAATGACACAATTACACATAAACTTCTGATATACAATAGTATTGTTTTATCAAGAACTATACAGAAATGCTCTTTATAAAAAATAACATTTCTAAGATAATATAAAACTACACCCTAAAGTAACCCACCTTATGAACACCATAATCCCTTTTATCATATCAGAGAAAACTAAAAATTATAATTGCTTTTATTATTGAACTTCTAGGAACATAATTAAAACTAAAACCTTCCCCGAAACTCATAACTAACTAATCCACCATTTTTTCCCAGAATTTTTCTAGATAACTCTATCGCATCAGGAGCAACATTATAACACTCTTGTAAGATCAAGTGTTTAAGAGTGTTGCCACATCGCCTGACCAAAGGTCCAACACCACTTCCAGTAACGTTTTTACACCATTTGAAGTTAACTTCCCTTAAACATTTGCAATGTGAACCCATTACTTCTAAAGTTTTATCGGTAATATTTGAATTACTTTGTAAATCGATCACTTCTAATAAAGATCCACAATCTGACTTCATAACTTTTATGACACCGACATCAGTTATTCCCGGAGATTTTCCAATGCGCAAGACTTTTAATTGTTTGCAGTAATTTCCAATAAGACACATTGTTTCATCTGTCAAATAGATACTAGATGTAAAATCGAGTTCTTCCAACTCTTCACATGATTGAACCAATTTTCGGATACAATTATCTGTTAAGCTTTTACATTCCTTTAAACTAAAGGAACAAAGATGTGTGCAAATTCCAATGAATACCTCAAAAGCATCTTCTAATGAAAGAGTTCCTTCCACTGGCAAATCGCCTGTTATCTGCAGAAATTTCAAATTCATAAAACTAGTTAAACTAACTATAGACTTTGTGGTTAATCCACAAACTCCAGCCAAATCAAGATGAACAAGATTCGGAAATAATAAACTCAAATAATCAATCACATTTCCCTTTATTTGGCCATGACACTGCAAGTTGACATTCTTCAATTTTAAAGCCTTATTATCCACGAGCGCTGGATTGAATGCTTCCGAAGTCAAGCTATCACAGAAAGACAAATTCAAAGATTCCAGATGCTTACATTTCGATAACATGACAGATAATGTCATGTTTGTGATGTCTGATTTTGAAAAATCTATAGTTTTCAAATCTAAACCAACTGTTTTAATAAATGCTCTTATGCCTTCATCGGTAACGCTTGAATTTGAGATCGCTATATATTGTAAACGGTCACATTGAACTTCTCTAAGGGTCTTCAAGGTTTTGTCAGTTAATTTTGGAGAATCACCACAAATCAATTTTTTTACACGTCTTCCACCTCGTTTAACGTAAGTACGGATTATATTATCGTTGAGAGTATTAAAAAATGGTCTCTCAAAATCTAAATTATGCCACAATATTTCTGACGAGAGAATATATTTTCTCCAGGTTTTAGATACGGCAGAAGCTTTGCAAAGGCTTGTAAACGGAAGTCTCTTTAAAATATCATCTTTAAGTTCTGGTGGAAGAATACGCATCATGTCATGTGTTTTAGAAGAATCAGACTGCTTAAAAAGAAATTCAATGGTGAATAATATACTATATATTTAACTTTGTCTTTTATATAAAACAAGAATAAAAACAAGTTTAAACTTACACGCAATTTATTACGCAAATTATTCTGCAATTCTTCACTTTGTTTTTGAAGCATCTGAAGATATTATTTAGTTAATAAACCTTTTAAGAATAATTTGATTATTCGAAACAAATGTTACCTCATAATATTGATCTTTGGTGATGACAAGTGACAATCCAATATTATAAATTTTAATTGCATTAGCTGTCTGATTCAATAATCTATAAACTTTGCCAGCACGAAGATAAGCCTAAAAAATGTATTTAAATAAGCGCGCATATTTTAAATAAATCTGATTATAATTAATAATTACCTTTACTGCGGTTTTGTCCAATTTAATCATAGATAACGCGTCTTGTAAAGCAGCATCTAGCTGACCGAGTTTTTCAGACGTTGAAGCGCGACAATCATAGAATGAGATAAAATTCGGCTTCAAATTAATTGCCTTGAAATGAAATTACGACTTTTAAATATTATATAGATTAAATCAATGCATAAAATTATTAAGATAAAAGACCTTTGTAAACAATTCTTGTGCTTTTAAGAGCTCGTTATTTTTTAAAGCTTCTTTAGCTTGTTTAAAATATTGCAGAGCAGCATTAGTTTGTTTCATTTCTTGAGAATCACCTTTCCTTTTATACATCTTTATTGTAAGTCACCTATAAAATACTAGTGAATTTTGCACAAAAATACTTTTTTTTTTTTTTTTGTATCTTAACGCGTCAAAACAATAATAGTAAATGAAAAGGAATGCAAGTAAAGGTCAATTAATTTCGAATCGTGACCCTTATATAACCAAAAACTGTGTAACGAAAATCGCGTAATTCGTGATTTGTCTATTAGTTACATGGGCAAATTCAATAATGCCGGCCAAAAAAAAAACATAAAAATTTCCTGGTAATGATTATATTATTAAATATAATTAGATTTAAAAAATTAATTAAAGAAAATCATTTTTCACGTGATTCGTGTTTGTGCTACACAAAGTGATCGTCGGTTCATCCTTGATATTTATTCGTTTGATGTTCGATTTCTTTGTTCAAATTTTTTTTCTCGATTGTAGCCTTTCGTCGAGAATTATTAAAGCCTTGATATTATAGCTTGTATCATTATTGGGTAAATTAAATCAATAAAATTATTCTTTAGTTGTTTTCGGATATAACTGTGTCATTGTATTTTTTTTTTCTTGAATATTTTTTTTTAACATTTTCTGAATATTTTTAAAAGTTAATCTAATAATATTATCATGGGTGGTAGTTATTTAATTGCAGGTCGCAATGTACAGTCTCATTACGTAAGGCAACCTAGTAATTTGTAATAAGAGCTACCATGTACGAAAAATTAATAATACATTTATTATTATAGCTCGCGCTCGCTGTATTGACGTCGTTTGGTCTCGGAATCATGGCTGTAAGAGCAAAATCAAAGCCGAAAATTCAATATTCATCTCCTCCACCAATTAATTCATCTTCTGCAGAAGAGGAAGCTTTTATCAAAGAATTTTTAAAGCATGCGGATGAAAAGAAAAAGGAAAATCATTAATTTCAATTTGTAGTATAATTTTTATGTAATTTATTATCCAATTTTTTGATCTCAAATTTTGATTGATGCTCATTTTGCTCTATACATACTTATTATAAATTGAAATAAAAAACAAATAAAATAAATAAAGGGAATTCAAATTTATCTCTGTTTTATTATAATTTATTAGGTTGCATTTTTGATTAATTTCCATTAATTTTAGTTTTATTAGTTTTATTGTAATTGAACAATAGATTTATTGATCAAAATCAAAATAATTGTACTACCATACAATATTTTAAATTTATCTTTGGTTTATTCCTTTTTTTTTTTTTTTTGCTGTTTATTAATATAAAACATTCATTCAAATATCGATTGATTATTGCTCGCTTGAATCTGACACCGAGTGAATAAAAGCGATCTTCGACAAACGTGGTTACAATACAGCTGATGCGAAGCTCCCAGCAAGACGAATCTACATCACATACATTGTCAGCAGAAAGTGATTTAACTCACACTTCCGCAATAGAAGACAGAAACGCTCCGGGAACTCGATCTCGGAGAAAAAATTCGTTAACATTGGAAAAAGCCGAGAATACAGTTACGCAGTTAGATTCTATAACTGAATCTAAAATGGCGATGAACAATAAGCCTAGAAATAGAATGTGGATAAGGACGACAGCCTTTCTATTATTTGTAGGCTGTGTATTATTGTTTTTTATCCCCGAAGAAAGATTGAACTTTAAGCCAAATTTGCCCGAATCAGATAGTAAGTTATCATTAATAAGTTGGTTAAATTATTTATACCTCACTCTAAAAAAGATCAACAGCAATTAATAATGGAACTAATTCCCCAAATTTATTTTGTAATCTTCCTAATTTAGCTGGTATTTCTTCGGATTCTAATACAAATGTGGTATTAGAACCTTCTAAAACAAATGAGATAGAAGATAAGGAAAATATTAAATCTGTTCCCGCAAAATCAAAAGTAGATACTCCTAACAAAGATAAAGTTCAAATCCCATCACAAAGTTCTTCAAAACATTGTACCGTACCTTATCCTGGTCGACCACTAATACAATATGCACTCATGCTTGATGCTGGATCTACAGGTTCACGTATACATGTATATCGATTTAATTATTGTAAGGCATCACCGGAATTGGAAGATGAAATTTTTGCGCATGTAGAACCAGGCCTTTCTTCGTACGGAGACGATCCAGAAGCAGCTGCAAATAGTTTGAATGAATTGATGTCAGTAGCTCTTAAGAATGTTCCTAAAGAGTTACGACATTGTACTCCAATAGCTGTTAAAGCAACGGCCGGTTTACGTTTGTTAGGATTAAAGAAAAGTGAACGTATATTGGAAGCCGTTAGAGAACATCTAGAAACAAATTATCCTTTCTACATAGTAGAAAAGGAAGGTGTTGTAATTATGGATGGAAAAGACGAAGGTATGTCAAAAACATTTTTAAAAATAGGATATGTACTTATAAAGAAATTCAAGAAATTAAATTTTTTAAATTTGTTCAATTATATTTAGGTGTATATGCATGGATTACAGTAAATTATTTATTGGATAGAATAGGTTCTACGAAAAAAATTCCCACGGTTGCTATATTTGATCTTGGAGGTGGCTCAACTCAGATTGTTTTTGAACCCGAATCAAGTGAAGGATTTGAAGTTGCGCCTGGAGAGCATAAATATGAATTAAAATTTGGAGGACATAGTTATGTACTTTATCAGCATTCATATTTGCATTATGGACTTATGGAAGCAAGAAAAGCGATTAAAAAATTCATGATAAAATTGTGGTCCTCTGTATCTAGTAACAAGAAAGATAGTGTAATTCCCGGCGTTGCAGCATCTAAATTGGACATTACAGAGGATCATGTTCCCCATCCTTGCTTTCCAAAAAATTATACAGAACAATTTTCACTTTCTGATATTTTAAATTCAAAACATGAAGATTTTGCAACAATTGTCGGTACTGGTGCAGGACATGCTCAATGTCGATTTATTACCGAACAAGTACTTAACAAAACCAATGAATGTCCTTTATCTCCATGTGCATTTAATGGTATATATCAGCCATCATTACAAACAACCTTTTCGATACATGATATTTATGCCTTTTCATATTTTTATGATCGAGTGAGACCTTTAGGGATGCCAACTGAATTTTCTCTTAGAGAACTCCGAGATTTAACAGATGCAGTTTGTGCGGGAAATGTCGATCAGTTTAGTCATTTGCCAGAGGCTATTAAAGAGCTTAATAAGAATCCACATTATTGCATGGATTTAACGTTCATTTATGGATTATTACATTATGGTTATGAAATACCACTTGAAAGGGAAGTAAAGATTGCCAAAAAAATTAAAGGTATTGAAACTGGATGGTGTCTTGGAGCCGCTATCGCTGTATTAGATCAAAGTGTATGGTGTAAATCATCTTGAACATTTAATTTGTTAATTTTAATTTTATTAGGTGAGTGTTTTATTGTTATGAACAATGGTTATAGATATTGGAAATTTAATTATACTAAATAGAATGAATAATATAGTCTACACTAAAAAAATGTAATCACGTGAATAAGAAAATTTATTCCGCAGTACCAAGTTGGACTGCTCTATAATATCTGTTTAAGCGATAATTTTATCATGACATCTTTGATCAATTACTTCTTTCTGTTTCTTCTCTTCACTATTTTCAAACAACTTTTTACGTGCATTTCAGAGAGACGATTAATAAGTCTAATAATTCTAATTTTCATCTAATTGGGCGTATGTTCAACACATTTAACTTTTCCTTGTGTAATATCATTTACATTAAACGGATCTATAGAATAAAAATATGAAGCATATTTTTTGTACGCATCCTTCAATATTAAAATTAATTATATTGAAATACAATACATGTAAAGCTTTCTGAAGCTATAATGCTTTTTTAATCAGCATATGCCCAATTAAGTTTATATTGTTTACATTGCTATAAAAAGTAAAAGATTTTTAATACATTTCGTACCGAAGAGACAGGCTCAAATTACTACTGTAAATCAGACTCCTTTTTTTGACCTCCGACGAGGGTCTTCTTTCCCAAGATGTACAAACAGCCGTGATAAGATAAATATAATGAATACAAGTAAAATACCTTTGCACGTTCTTCCTTATTGGTTTTTATCAATGCCTATGATAAGTCACGTCTTCTGTTAGAGATCCTCATTTTGGTAATATATGGGAAGATTGCCAGGCTCAGACAAAATTAAGATCTTATTACAATAACATCAAGATCTGAAATCAGATGCACACTGCATATTATTTATTATAATATAAGGTTCCATTTACTCAATCGTTACGAACGTATGTAGGGAATCAGTGTTATTATGTAAAATATTATTTATTTTTACAAATAATAAACTCTTTAAAGCCTATTAAATAAAAAAAAAAATAGTATAGTTATATTTAAATTTAACTAGATTTACAATCATGATTATCATAAAATTTTAATTTATAATATATTAAAAAAGTTTATACTGCATAAGGCTAATTATTGAAGGCTTGGAGGCTTGGGAAAATCTTGTGATAGTTTCATTTTGTTTCATTGTCATGGGAAAATTTGGTCTTAAAATTTATAGTATTAATAATCAATCGTCACTCTTTGAATCGCGTTTATAAATAGGCCAGCCCAATTTAAACAAAAAAAAACTTTTTTCAATAATAACCGAAAAATGGCATCTCCTGATATTACTTTTTATACTTTCTCAACTACCAATGGAGTAAAAGTTAGTATTACTCTTGAAGAATTAGGACTTCCATATAAAGTGAATTATGTTTCTTTTGAAAAAAGAGAACATAAGAGCCCCGAGTTTTTGAAAATCAATCCAGCAGGAAAAATTCCTGCTCTCACGGATCATGATTTTAATGTATTTGAAAGTGGCGCTATTATGCTTTACCTTTGTGAAACTTATGATCTTGAAGAGAAATTATTGCCAAAGGATCCCAAGTTAAGAAGTCAAGTTATACAATGGGTATGGTAAAATTTCTTATGAATGAAATCAAAAAAAAAAAAATAAAGGTTTAATTCCTCTTACTCTTATTAGATTATGTTCCAAATGGCTGGACTCGGACCTATGCAAGGACAAGCTAATATATTTAATACTTTCTCACCAGAACGTATTCCATATTGCATTGAACGATATACCAAAGAAACCAAAAAATATTACACCATTTTAAATGATTTCTTGGAGAAGAAAGAGTATTTAGTTGGAAATAGGTATACTTTAGCAGATATTGCAAATTATTCCATGGTTAAGTTCCACCCCATTTGTGGAATTCCAAACATAGATGATTTACCAAATTTAAAAGCTTGGGTGGCTCGTATTGATGCAAGACCTGCTACTCAAAAAGGCATAGATGTACCTAACACTGCGCTTAGAGAATGTATTGAACATCCTGAAAAGTTGGAAGAATTTTCTCAAAGGGTTAAAGCTATTTTTAAAAAAATGCAGGAAAAATAAGTGTTGCGATTCGAATTTCATCATTTAAAATCTCATCTGATTATTATTTTTTTTTTTCCTTTATCATTTAAATAAAAATCTTAATTGCTTAAATTGGACAGAATAAGTGTATCAAATTTTGATTACAGAAACTTTCCGAGTTTTGTTTTAATCGAGTTCGTCATTGATGCACCATTCTTCATAAAAGTCATGGAATAACACTTTTTTTTTTGATTTTAACTTTACCGACAATAAAATTTTCTCATTATCTATATTTCTTAATAATAATAAATTGATCTTTAGTCAAAATTAAACTACTTTTAAAGTCAAATAAAGTTGTATAGCGTATATGAAATACTTAAATGTTAATTTTCTTAAATATTATAATAGGTATTATATTTAATTATTTAAGTATGGCAATTTGGAATCATATTTATATAAATATATTATTGATATTGTATATGGTATAGATCATGTGATCAATCATATTTATTATTTTATTATTGATCAACCAGAAAAAAGGAA